AAACTTGTGCCATCTGTCCCTCGGTACAGATAGGATATCCTGGTCTGTCTTAAACAGGTCTCCTATGAACTGAAGTCAATAGGAAGGAGAATACTCCCGACTTCGCCTCGTTGATTGTCTATCCCAGTTATTGACATGTGTGGATGATACAGTAGAGCGCCCTCCATCTAGGACTCGAACCAAGTGTTCGTCACGTGTAGATAGTTATTGGCTTCATTACTCCTGTAAATAGCCATAAGTGTCACTGACATGTCAAATGGGAAATACTACCATTGGTAGTGAACCCCAATGAACTGGACCTGAAAAGTCTACGGTTGGGATGGATAGTCGAGACTGATGAAGAATCAAACGTTCGTTGAACACAGAGATTGTGGATCATTCTCATCTTGTCTGGGTCCTTCATGAGTACCAGGTACGTGTGAGGATAAAACCCCGGAGTAAAGACTGGGTTGTGAACCCACTCTACAGCTCTTCTTACCAACAGTATGTCTATGTTGGATTTTCCCAATCAAACTCTGGTCAACGGTGGGGTTATCTCTACCCTTATACGGACACCATGATATAGTGCGATAAGTACGAAATCGTCCTTGAGACTTGTCTCTGCCACTCCCTTTCGCAGTAAGGGAATGCTGGTCTTCCCTGAGAAACGCGCGTCTAGGCTTATAATTCCCTGACTTGCCAGCCCGCTTGGACTTTCCAAGCGTTTTGGGAACTTGACGTGCGTGTCTGCGATCTGTTCGTTGAACAGGGGAGTAGATGACCAAGGTTGAAGTAATAGACTGCCCTTGAAACCAGTATCTCAGTTGGAAACGCTATAAAGTCTTGGGTGTAACGGTAATCTCCGTCAGAACGGTCTCAAGATGAATTTTCCTGTGGTCAAACTGACGCTGTAGGAAAAGTTTGGAAGTGATCTAATCAGATAGGGTTATCCTCTAATAGATTCTGATCCACTGCAAACATTGACGATATTGGTCGCTTAAATCACGGAGCAAATGTGAGTTTTGGAGAAGTCTTCCTCTAATGACCTCGTGGTGTCCCTCTTATTTACCCTGTTATCAGGGGAAGGCGTTACTGACACGAGATGGTGTGCTTCCCAATCGGGTACATGTGCTAAGCTGATCATGTGCTAAGCTGATCATGTGCCGGTTACGTAACCGAGTACACTGTAAGCCTTGGGCTAACGTCATTGTAGAGACCTTGATTGGTACGCAGACGCTGCGCTCAGCGCAGGTCTGGAATGTTGGAACAGCGCTAAGCTGATCGTGCGACGTTTGCGTAATAGGAGCGCTTTGGGTAGCAGTCAGACGCTGCGCTCGGCGCAAGTCTATGCTGCATATGTTTGAACAGCGCTAGACTGATTGTGCGTCACTTGCGTGATAGGAGCGCTTGGGTATCAGTCAGACGCTGCGCTCGGCGCAGGTCTAAGCTGGATATGTTGGAACAGCGCTAAGCTGATCGTGCGCCGCTTGCCTAATAGAAGTGCTTGGGTTGTAGTCAAGTGCTGCGCTCGGCGCAGATAAATCAGACACTAAGCTCAAAAGTATTGACTGGATCAAGGCTTGCGTCTAATCTACTCCCATCATAGCATCTCGATACGCTGGTGCTGGTGCTGTCGCCGACGTCACAGATTATCATACATGTATCTGGAAGTGTCCGGCGGCTGAAAAAATAGGAGCAGTTACGATACTCACAAAATCCTCCGGTATTGTTGATTTCTGTGGATGGTGTACTTCTGCAATCACAGGCGTCATAATACCTGCCGATAATAACGGTTGGGGGGTAATGACAGAACCATATGTCATTCGCTATTCTGCGATAGTGACATTCCTCTCGTCTCACGACGGAATAACTGCAAAATATGATTGTGAGTAATCTGCTTTTATATAGTAAACTCGTTGGATTAGAGATTGACCGTGGATAAAGAGCTTTGGGCGATTATTCCACGACAACATGTACACCACGCAAACATAAGTTACGCAATTAACCCATTGAAGAAATGGTACTGAAAGAATGCCGTAGAATTGAACAGTAATCTATCGGCAAAAATACGAATTGCAAGGGTATACAATATTTTTATATACGCAATTCAATGTAAACCAAGGCTATTTACATTTAGAGATTGGAGAGCACATCCGCGCGCAAACCAACCAACGTGGATGATAATCTTTGTAAGGTTTTTTCCACGACAATTAGTACCACGCTCAATCATAAGTTACACAATTACGCCATTGTTGATGAGGCGGTACTGGAAGAATGCCATAGAATTGAACAATAATCTATCGGCAAAAACTACGAGTTGCAAGAGTATACAAAGTTCATATACGCAACTCAATGTTAAACCAAAAATACCAACAAAAAACTATTTAATCGCATAAACATAGGTACGCAATAAAAGAATTGTTGATGAAGCGGGACTGGAAGAAAGCCGTAGATTTGATATTAATCTATCAGCAACCATATTTTTAACGAGTTGAAAAAGTATACAATAATTTTAGTATACGCAACTCACTGTTACGCCAAAGCTAGTAGTATTTAAAAACATAAGAATATGTTATACATACGTAGCTGAGAATTGTAAACAATATGACTACCTTGGCAGGCAAACGATTGTAACACAATTCAAAATGGCGGCGAACAACAATATTTTGGCAGGAAAAAAGACAAGAGTCTTTTCACGCCTAATTAATTCACATAAAACTACACAACATGGTGAAAGTAATATGAAAAGAATACATCACCCATCGCAGATCAATTTTTAAGATTGTAGACAAACTGAAGGTGTAAAATTAATCCAAAAGGAGAGCTCCGCTTGGACACGTCCTAGCTGTGCTGCGACAAGCAGTGATGTGAAGATGACCTTAGGTGTCATCAAGGTCACAGGACAGCGACGGAAGGCCACTGATTGGGACTTGAGAACAACAACTTTATTTCTTCACCCAGGACCTTCGCAGCGCTGTCCTTCTAGTTGTCGTAAGTAAGCAGTGAATGCATTAAGGAGTAATGCAGGATAAGTAAAAAATTAACCGTTTCACTAAAGGTTGTATTAATCTCAAGAAATCTGCTTTGAAAGATCATAGAGACGGCGCCTCTCATCATCAGGCCGTTACAACGATGTATCACAAAAATGCAATGGCAGCGCATATGGAGGTGGCAGCAGACAAATCTGACGAGAAATTAACAGCAATGTTAAACACAGTTTTATTCATGTCTCAAGAAAATGTTGCTACCTCCAAGTTTTCTAAACTAATAGAACTGCAGCAGCGGAACGGATGTGAACATTTACAGGGAGAAACGTACACTCATTCGGACTCAATAGACGCGATGGAGAATGCACTTGTTGAGAGTACTAAAGAAAATTTAAAATCTAAACTTGAAAAAAGCAAGTTTATTGGACTCATTATCGATGAGCCTGTTAATATCACGGTTGAAAAAAAACTTATATTGTTTGTGAAAATCGTTAACGACGTAAAGGCAGAAACAGTGTTTTTAGGAAATTTTTCAGTTCATAGTGGAACAGCCGAAGGTATCATGGAAAAAATTCTAGAAATTTTGCCTCAATGGAACATTCCTTTGGAAAAAGTGGTCAGTCTAGGATCGGATGGTGCGTCTGTTATGACCGGGAAACACTCAGGGGTTGGGAAGAGGTTGCAGGATCATAATTCATATCTTGTGCACGTCCATTGCATAGCCCATCGTGTCGCACTTGCTTCAGCCGATACAGCGAAGATTTCGAAGGTCGTAGCGGAATATAGAAGGACATTGAATGATATCTACAAACTGTTTGAATATTCAGCGACGCGATACAACAGATTGCGAGAACTTTCAGAGGTCCTTGAATATTCGGACTTTTCAAGTTTAAAACATCCGTGCAGTGTTCGTTGGCTTTCCGTGGGACGGGCGGTCAAAGCAGTGAAATCTGGACAATGGACAAAATTGTTACTCTTTTTCAGAGAGACAATATCAACATGGGCATGATTATGCCAATTGTGAATTCTACGATTGACGCCCTTACCAGTCTAGAAAACACCGCAGGTGAAAATGAACAGCATTTCTTGGATAATCTGAACAACAGGGAATTTCGTGGAATTCAGGTCACATATGGGGACCCGCGATCTATCGGTGCGTTTGTGAAAACCCGTTGTGGGTTTATCGAGGAACTCTGTAACTCTCTGAGAAAAAGATTTCCGGTTGACTCACTTGATATCGTTACTTGTCTGGACAAAGTGCTCAACCCAAATCGATTTCCCAAAACGCAAGAGGAACTGACAGCTCACGGAAGGGAATCCCTCGAGAAATTACTGGACAAATTCTGCCTCCCGATTGGTCCAGCTGAAAATGACGTCATCAATCGCATCCGGGCGCAGCAGGACTTCACACCTTTCAAGATGGCGGTCAACAACATAGGAGCCGACTCGTTCGAACAAAGTTGCAAGACAGTGATTTCTGAACTTTCAGATATTTATCCCGACTTTTCCACTCTGCGCTCGATAGCACTTGCTATCCCAGTTAGAAGCGTTGATGCTGAACGTGGATTCAGTTTGCAAAACAGGATACACTCTGCCAGTCGCAATCGTCTTTCCTAACAACGGACAAACAACGTGATGCTGTTGAATCTACACGCAGACGTCAACAATACTGTCAAACAAGCTACGAAGATCTTTCGTAGAAAGAAACATAAACTTTAATAAACAAGTCCGTATGTTTTGTGTTGTATTTTATTGAATTTATTAATGACTGACAAAAATAACAAATGTCCGGTATTTTGGTACATTGCCGGCTCATCTGTCCGGCAGATAAAAATATGACCGGAACCAGTGCCAGGTGGACACAGGATTTGTGAGAGTATATGGTACTTGCACTAAGTCAGGTACAGCATAGCCCTCTGCCTGTGGTATGCGCATGTGGTACACTTGGATTTAGCATTAACAGGGTCTGTGTTTAAGAAGTATTCTACTACAACATAAATATAGCAATATTAATGACAATAAAACAGCAAGTACCTTCTTCAATCACCAAAACGACAGCAGTAGCGAGAAGAACATCCCAGGTTTTGGCATCCACTGGCTGACTTGGCAAAAGGGTCATCAGCGATATTGTCACAATAGAAAAGTTGGGCATGATCAAGGTGCTGGCATGCACTGACTATGTCAGACAGGCCACTAGCACGAATGTCCATACATCCCGATAAATCCAGGAAAGCAAGCGCCCGCACACACTTCTCTTCAGATAATGCTCTGTTTATAAACAAAAAGCTGCTGTAGTTTCAATTGAGACATCAAAATGAAAGAATCAAACATTTAAAAGCCCCTAGATACCTCAATAATAAAGTTATGAGCTCTTCAGGATAAATGACATCAATTCCTCTTGGGAAAACACATACCAAATGCTGAAATGGTTGTAATGAAAAGTTCAAACTATTGGTGTGTTAAAATGTTGGCTTGTTACAGACACATAAGCATTACATGCACTTTTCTTTAATTATAGGCATCCTGCTGGTTTTCTACTCTGGACAACTTGATGTACTTTGACAGTCCCCAGGACTTCCAGTTAACTTGCAAGACATTCACTGAGCAAAACCTAGCCACGGCAATTGTCAAATTCCATACAAGAAATGGGAGATGCCTACCTGAGCCCAGCGTCTGTAATCTGGTAGCAGCCTGACAGACTCAGGTACTGTAGACCGGAGCTGTTCTCACATATGTCACAAACACTGCTGTTTTGGCTCTTATTGCTAACAAAATGCTGTCTGACTTGATGCACTAATTGTCTGATGTCAGTGCTACTGCAATGAGTGAGGGTGGCTTGCGAAACTCGGACAGACGACAGCCTGGGCTCAAAAGTCTTGGGCTTCTCCATACCACAGCACGAATCTGAAGAACACTTTTGAGTTTGCTCGAAGAAGTCATCTAGCATTGCATCACAGATAAGCCACTTCCTCATCTCTGAGTAAGGCAGAGTTCCAGTTGGTACTTGTGTATTTGAGATATGCTGTATGTCCAGTGTGTCACAAGCTGGGCAGGTCATGGCCTGGGACAGTCGCTGGAGGGAGATATTCGTTATGTTCACACATCCTGTCAAGTCCAAATGTCTCAGCTGAGGACAGCACCCTTCAGAGAGGCTGAATCATAATGACAGTAAACACATTTTACTCGACCCAAACATACCTGAAGGCAAGAGATAAAAATTACAGAGCCATGGCACTTAAGCTCACTACTTGTTATTCATCAAGTACAAAAAGAGTGGCTTTTAAGTGGTTGTGATAAGCGGCCTATATTAAGAAGAGGAAAGTTTGAGTTTAATGAATTAATCTTGAAACACAAAAGAACACTGTTAACATGGTAACAAACACCCATGTAACATTTCCAGTCACTTTGGTAGATGAAGGAAAAGATGACGAGTAACTTAGGAGCATGCTGGGAGCAAGGTGGTTGGAGAGTGTGTTCAGGAGAACGTGGCTACTTTGTTCTACACTATTTTACAATCGAAGCAAGGCTGAATATCCCTTGCTGTTTGGAGGGATAAGTTGAAAAACATAACATTTCTTAAGCACACAGTGTTCTTGTTCAATAACTAGGGAAAAGCAAGACCTTCACCTTTAGTCCTTTGAATCCTTTCTCAGGTGGTGATTCGGTTAACGATATCCCAGGTTATAACCTCAGTCATTTCAAAAGGAATGGTCAAGAGGAATTAAATGTGCAACCTTTATTGTCCCAGGATCAAACACACATTCCGGCATTTCATTACCTAATATTTTGTCTAAGAAATCACTGTGTAATCAGAATACATTTTCAGGAATGTCATCTTCCCAAGGCAAGGGAGTTAACTGACTATAACAGTCCAGTTTCCACCCTTGCCGAACTAGGCTGAAATTATTTTGTTATATTTTGGCTGGACTAATCAAAATGGCGTAAGGAAATCGACATCCGGTTAGTAAACTGCCATGCAGATTTCATTTGAATGTGTACTGAGATTTTAGCATCAACAGGTGTTTGCCAAATCTTTTCATGGTTTTAGTCAAGGTGCTCACATGATTTGATGGGCCATTTTATTACAATATAGATCTTGATTATCGATTAGATCGTCTTCACTGGACGACACCACTTTATTTGAAGCAAATGCAAGTGATATGAGAGGTAGAATCTTATTGGTCAATAGGAAGGACATAGAAAGAACATAACTCGTAATAGCCACTGGTGGCAATACAATCGAGCCTAGAAATTCCAGCCTAGTTCAGTAAGTGTGGAAACTGGACTATTACAGTCATTTAACAACCTTGCCTCGTAAAGATGCTGGAATGTATACCAAGACTTGATCAGGAGCTACAGGTTGAACACACTGGCTACTGAACACTCAGAATTACTCTTTTGCTCCTATCCTAACGAAGGGAAAGTTCATAAAAATCAATGCTCAGGCACCAAAACGATAGACATACATCTGGCTTAGTGGAGGGTTGTTAGTAGCTATAGATACCCTTTGAATGCTGCATCCGAGATGGGTGTGTAGGACAGGTCCAGGTACTGCAGCTTCCCACATCTCATCAAAAGTTGCCGAAGCTGAACACAAGACAGGTGACAGTCAGTAAGGAAGCACGAGAAGCAACATATTAAATGTTTAAAATTAATGACATTTGGCTTCAAACCAAACTACTGGTACACTAAAACATTTTTCTCCGATATGAAGGCATTCAGACATTGAGTGAGTGAGTGAGTATGGTTTTACGCCGCTTTTAGCATTATTCTAGCAATATCACGGCGGGGGACACCAGAAATGGGCTTCACACATTGTACCCATGTCGGGAATCGAACCCGGGTCTTCCGCGTGACGAGCGAACACTTTAACCACAAGGCTACCTGACCGCCCCCATTCAGACATTGGACTGGCTCTTTGAGCCCCCTGACATGTCCCCAATAAAGCATTTATAAGATGTTCTCAAGCCAAGAGTGTATGCCAAAGACCTAGCACCCGCCAATGTGGCCCAGCTTGGAGTAGCTCTTCAGGCGGAATGGCAGACAATACCAAGGGCTACCATACCAGATATTGATCTACACACTGGAAAATAATTTATTGTCATTACTCCTTCAGTATCATTTTATCAGTTCCCTTATTTTTTGTTAGTAGTATATATCATGAATAATTTTAACTTTACAACATCAGACTCCATGCAGTACAGAACTGTGAAACAGAAAGTCCTGTGCTCTTCTGACCTTACAACAAAGTTACATCAATTACATTTAATAACATCACTTCCTGTTTCATTTATTCTGGGAAGTCTACTTCACACAAAGTGACTTTGACTAATCACATGTGAGAACATTATTTGTTGCAAACTTAGGTGGTGTAAATAGAACGCCAGATAATTTTTCAGAATCAGGAGTAACAATAATATAACTTTTTTCTTTGTTGTATGTCTGTTGCATAACGCACACCTCCTTCTAGGGTATTCAGTTTTTTTGGAATCTTTTGAGCATTATGTGAAGAAAAAAATTACATCTAATCTCTTCAGCGAAGTCAGGTAAACGAACAGGTGATAACAAACATGGGTCAAAACAGATTTGAAATTTGAGATAAAACTTAACCAGACGAGACGATTTACCATTTAAGTTGTATTTCCTGCTCCCCAAGGCATTGTTTAAGATGCAGAGATAAAGATTATCATGTGTATTTTCTCGTAAACTAAGCCGGAAACAGCAATCCAGCTGTACACATGTTTTCTCACAATCTACCAACGATTCGGTTTAAAATTACCTAAATATATAATTTTGATGCAATGATCGGTAGAATTGTACTTGAAACTATTATCTTATCAGGAATAATATCTTCAAATATCCTAGTAAAATCTAAATATTTTTTACATTTGTTTACTTATCCTGCATTACTCCTTAATGCATTCACTGCTTACCTTATGACAACTAGAAGGACACCGCTGCGAAGGTCCTGGGTGAAGAAATAAAGTTGTTGTTATAAAGTCCCAAGCAGTGGCCTTCCGTCGCTGTCCAGTGACCTTGATGACACCTAAGGTCATCTTCACATCACTGCCTGTCGCCCAAGCTCTTAGAAAAACATACTTTTGAGGTTTCTGAAGCCAAAGTGGGGAGGCAAGTCTTGCGATGGGTGGGCCTTAAACGTAGTAATGCAGGATAAGTATACAAATGTAAATAATATTTAGATTTTATTAATTTTTTTACTTATCCTGCATTACTCCTTAATGCATCTGTATCAGATGGTTTGGGGGTGGGTAAACCTTCAGAATACAGAAACCTCAATAATTCACACCCTGCAATACGACACCAGTTGGTCGATAAACTGTGAAGCGGAAAAGTTCAGAAAAAAACGCCATTACGGTAGGGTTGTTCAAAAATCAAAAAGATTGAACATAGGAATTAAAGAGAAATTCCCTATACACGCTTAGTAATAAAGAAAATAATAGCTAATCAGCTAATTCTTTACCTACTTGGAATAGAGCCGTCGCTGACAAACAAGATTGTCTAATATTCTTCCACTGGCGGCGACTGAGTGACTGCACATGGAAGTTGACTGGCTCTGTATAGGGCGAGTTCATTATTTGCTTCAGGGGTTGGCAACCTGCAGGGTAACAACCAGAGGGCCAAACTTCGCACGTCTTCGACATCCTCGAGAGCACCAACGCGAAGGTTATGACTAACGAAAATCTGTGTCGAATCTCCAGAAATATCCTTCCGTGATTGTTCCAAAACCACAACTGCTGTGTTGAGCACTGGTAAGGCTGACACCCTGAGATCTTGAGGGTAATTCGCTCTCGGCGAGTTCCGTTTGGCGATCTCGTAGGCCTGAAGGATTACTGCGCGTAACGATAGAGGTATGGTGTTTGCTACTATGTGACTAACTTCGGTCGTGGACGAAGTAAATATGGGTATCAAGGACCGCTTCCTCGAACCATGCCTAGTCTTGGAGCAGCGAATGAAAACTCGAAACTGCTCGCACCGAGCCCAGAAGAACTTCACCATGTACGATTCCCACAATAGTCGATATTGGTGGGATGGTGAAGGAACCGTCGGGTTGGCCTGGTAGTAGATTTTAGCAATAAAATCTCAGCATAAGCCAAGATGTTCCGCTCCGTGCGTCCCATGCTCAAAACGGATCCGGGTTGAGTCGATCACATGTAGTTCGCTCACCCGTACCGCCATTGCTAATGCCAAGAGAAACCATTGTTTCCTTGGTGTGGTCATAAAATGAGGATGCATTGAGGGGCTCGAAGGGGGCCCTCGCAAACCTCGAAGTACCACGTTCAAGTCCCAATCAGGTTGGCGGAACTTGGCCTTCTGATCCTCAAGCCTGAATGAGCATAATATGGCCTGTAGTTCCGTGACCTTAATAACATTGTGATTTTCCAGAACGGCCAACACTCATTGCAGCCAATTACAGAGTAATGGTGCTACCTTCCAAGTGTCTTTGGGTACGCAAAAGTAGGAGGAATTCCTCTAGGAATTGTGACGCAATCGTAGGGTCTTGATTCTTTTTTTCCCTGTAAAAAGTCTCAAGTGATCCCCACTTGTCATCGTATAGTCTCTGGGAGAGTAACGATGAACTAAAGCTATAGCTTTGCTGCCCGTGTCGAAATAACCCTTTGCACTTAAACGCCTTTTAAAGACGAACCATGCGTGCAGACGTTGGGTGAGACAATTTGCTGTGAGGGTGGACGAGTAGGTTGGACCACTGTGGGAGGGGTAGTGAATCGTCTTCGGCTAGATTTTTCCGAGCTTGACGAACTACCCTCTCGCCGGTTACCAGGGCGCGACCAAAGGGGAGATCGAGATACCTTGTCTCCTTGATCCTCTGTATCACCTTGGGAAGTAAAAGTGGTGGCAGAAAAGTGTAAGTTTTTTAGCCCTTCCTGATACTGAACTCGTCCACCGCCCAAGTCTGCGGATCCGGCAACGGGGAGATATACGTCATGAGTTGGTGGTCTAGGCAAGTAATAAACAAGTCAATGTTTGGTTGCCTGTATTCCTGAAGCAGTAACTCGAATGCTTCTGTGAGAAATTTCCACTCGGTGAGAGCCACCCTGTCTGGACGTGATAAAGTATCGGCCAGTATGTTTCTACATCCGGGGATGTGCTGAACTATGAACTGTAGTTACAGCCGATCCACTAGATGGAAAAAATCTGAATGTCTGTAGAAGTAGAGAGTGGGAGTGTGTTGTTCCCCGTTTGCACAGGCACCACACCGCAGTGCTGTGGATATTGCGAGTCGGGCTAACTGTAGTTGATTCTGCCAATGTGATATAGCCAGAATTAAAGCTTCCAACTCCAAGTTGTTTATGTGCCACTTCCACTGAGCGCCGGGCCATAGCCCTGAGCTTATCTGGTCTTGTTAGTGAAGACCCCACCCCTGAAGGGGGACGTCCACAAACAGGTGTATATTCGGGGAAAACCAGAAAAAAGAGACTCCGAAGACATTCGACGCCACAAATTGAGGTAAGACTACGACTCGAACCAAGTGTTCGTCAAGTGTAGATACAGTTATTGGCTTCATTACTCCTGTAAATAGCCATAAGTGTCACTGACATGTCAAATGGGAAATACTACCATTGGTAGTGAACCCCAATGAACTGGACCTGAAGAGTCTACGGTTGGGATGGATAGTCGAGACTGATCAAGAATCAAACGTTCGTTGAACACAGAGAGACTTTGGATCATTCTCATCTTGTCTGGGTCTTTCATGGGTACCAGGCAGATGTGAGGATAAAACCCCGGTGTAAAGACTGGGTTGTGAACCAACTCTACAGCTCTTCTTACCAACAGTATGTCTATGTTGGATTTTCCCAATCAAACTCTGGTCAACGGTGGGGTTATCTCTACCTGTATACGAACACCATGATATAGTGCGAAAAGTATGAAATCGTCCTTGAGACTTGTCTCTGCCACTCCCTTTCCCAGGAAGGGAATACTGGTCTTCCTTGAGAAACACGTGTCTAGGCTTATAATTTCCTGACTTGCCAGCCTGCTTAGACTTTTCAAGCGTTTTGGGAACTTGACATGCGTGTCTGCGATCTGTTCGTTGAACAGGGGAGTAGATCACCAAGGTTGATTTTAAACCAGAATCTCAGTTGGAAACACTATAAAGTCTTGGGTGTAAAGGTAATCTCCGTGAGAACGGTCTCAGGATGAATTTTCCTGTGGTCAAACTGACGCTGTAGGAAAATCACCATAGTTTGGAAGTGATCTAATCAGATAGGGTTATCCTCTAATAGATTCTGATCCACTGCAAACATTGACGATATAGGTGGCTTAAATGACGGAGCAAATCTGAATTTGGAGAAGTCTTCCTCCAATGACATCGTGGTGTCCCTCTTAATTACCCTGTTACCAGGGGAGGGCGTTACTGACACGAGATGGTCTGCTACTAGGGATGGGACGGGTAACTCGGGTACCCGGGTCGGGTGGGTACTGAGTAGGACCCGGGTACCCACAGGACTACCCGGACCCATGGTCAGTCACGTGATATATTGTTTAATGACAAAAATTCTCTATATAACTGTATGGTTACACGACAATTTTAAGTCTCTAATGTTCGC